CCCATACGAATACCAGCTATTATTAATCAAGGAAGCTGATTGGAACTGATATAGATTTGCAGTTTAATTAAAAATACTGGGATTAAACACAAACTTCAACACAAAACTCTGTTTAAAGGGTTTTGTTGAATTGAAAGAACTTTTCCAAATTTATCCCTGTGTGCTGATTGGCTACAACTTGTACAGTGTAACCAATAAGAGCGTGCTGTGGGCGGGACTTTGCTTTAAACCACAGAGTGACGATTACAGAGGGTGAGATGCATCACAGCCTCTGGAGCCACGTTTTCAGGTAATGTTTTGGAGAATCAGTTAAAAAAAATATAACAGTAATCGTAAAAATGCTGAATATCTGGTACAAAAATAAACCAGGCTGATCAGCAGTTAATCCCTAAAGAATATATTGTCTGATAAAAAAAACAAAGACAGTTTCATCCAGGTGTATTAAAAACAGTTACAGAAAAAGGCAGGTTTGCTCGTCTCAACAGATTGATTATGCAACTATTCTTTAAGCGTATGTTGAAGTTTTATGTGGTTATATTCACGCAAGTACATGATGATCATTAGGTTGATTTAGAGGCCCACTGACCGTCACACCTGGCTGCTGCCCTCACCGTTGTGACTGACAGCAGCACTTTTTCTCCTTTACTGGCTCAATCAGTCTGTCTTTGCCTGACGCATGAAACAGTTTGTTCAGGAGGTACATGTTCCAAACAGGTAATGTCTACAGCTGACGAGAAAGAAGAGGTAGCTGGTGGAGAGGAAGACGTCCCGACTCAGACACACCTGGCGTTAAAAAGTGCAGCTGCAGGCTGGATATAGATACCGACTGAGCCAGTGAAGAAGAAAAAGCACTACATTCAATCACAGCTGCTAATGCTAGTGCTAGGACTGCAAAATTAAGACAAATATTAATCACGATTTTGGCTTTTTACATTTAAATAAACTTGACAGACTCTAATTTTTAAGTTTAAAATGTGCTTCGCTCACAGAAACTGCCACGTTTTTGATGTTGCCACAAACATGTCGTTAAAAATTACTCTGCTTCATCTTAGAATTTGAACATCTAGTTGATTATTTCACTCTTTATGAAGTACATTTTGGTCACACAACTGTCTGAGGTACGTGCACGGTCGACTGGAGGCTTCTTTGTGCACAGCCAGGTAGTTAACGTGCACTCTAGCCTGCATGTGAGGCGTTTAGGAACATTGGTAAATTGTAGAGTCTAGAAAAGTTTAACCAGTTTATAGGAGTTTATAGGAGTGGCATCAGTGCGAAAAGTTAGCCAGGAGCCCTACTCAAGAGAAAACACTTGGTTGTTTATCCTGATTATTTCTTATTAAAGTGTCCCTTATTTACAGAGTTTTCCTGGATGGATGAGTTCAGGAAACTTGAGCTGTTTTTTTCACAAAGCAACCTTTTCAAACCTGTTCTTGTAAGAAGCCATGTTCATATCTAATGTTTCACCATTGCGACGGTGTTGTTTCCCTTTCACCTTCCAGAAGCTTATTTGTTTTCAGAATGTATGTTTGCACTTAAGTGATAAGGGAGCCGCAAACGATAATTTAGAAAAACAACCTCAAAGACTGCAGGGGCGCCTCTGGCTGGATTCTAAAATTCAGTGCAATGACTGAAGCAGTGCGAATGAGTTTGTGCTTTTTCGCTTCGTCCCATTACACCTGGGTCAGGATTTACAAGGTGTAATTAAAGCAGAAAGGAAAAGGAGCAACCTCTCCATCCAGTCGAGCTGCATTCTTATCAGTAACATGCTCCTCCTCTCTGTTCTGTGACTGAGAATTATCTCTGTGACTGAGAGAGCAGAGGGCAGCTTCTTAGATTCAATTATTAAACCGGATCCCCGACTAAATGGCCTTAGCATGTTCGTAAACATTCTTATCATCCCCTGAACTGGTTATCCTCTGTGCATGATGGATTTCACGGATATTAAAGACTTCTGAAACAAGTGCACGGTTGTTGAAATTGGAAAAAAAATCCTGGACAAAGAAACGTGCAATCCATTTTTGAACATATTGGGGGGGCTGCATTAGAAAAGATCCAGAGACGGGTTTGTGTTTTTCTGGGACAAACCTCGGGGGAACACAAAAAAAGAAAAAAAAAATCTGCAATCATTTGGAGCAGCCGCTATCTCAGCCTTTCTATGACTCCCTCCCCTGTTTCTCTGCGTACATGACAGCCTGTGTCATCTTACGCTCATGCATGTATGCATCGTTTTACACCACCAAGGACCTCCGAAGCGAGCTGAACAAAAATCAGCCACACTAGCAGAGCGCAGCGTGGCCTTCAAAGTCAACTTCTATAGTGGTCACACTGAGAGAGTCCCTGAGTTTGAGTGCTCTGCAAATTAAAAAAAAACCTTCACGTGCAGCATCCTCGCACTTCAGCCCCACTGTTCAGCTAATCATTTCCTTTCAAAAGGTTACCAGTGTCACAGCGACGACAACAAAAAAACTGGAGCTTGCATTTGGTGCATTAGCACACCCGAACCAGACATGGATTTTCTGTCTTTGTCCCAGCGCGTGCAGCTCGGTCAGTCACTCATCAGCGCCCTCAGAATATAGATCTTAAACCAGCAGCAGACCTTTTTGCGGAGGGAATCAAACCAGCAGCACACATGACAACAGCAGACAGGAAACGGTGTCATCCAGCTGCCAAAAGAAAGCCCGTCTCCACGCTGGCTGGTCTGGTATTAGCCTACTTTCTCTCTGCTGGCAGACGGCATGTTACCTGCTGTTGTCAAAATCGATTAGTCTAAGCAGCTGAACTTGAGCAGCGCTGAGAATAGCCTCCGCTCATCTTGTTACCTGGACTTCACAATTACCAAAGCAAACACTCCCTCCACTGAGCAACATGGCAAGAACAGAGACACTGAAGGTCTGAATTCTGTTCATGCAGTCGTAAAATGTACAAGAGACAAGATTTTAAAGCAAATCTGAAATATTTTAACTGTGTCTGTACATCATGCAGCCATCAGTCACATTAGAACCACTAACAGAACGAGTATATAACGTCGATTATCTCGTCACAGTGCAACGTTCTGCTGGGAGACCTTGAGTTCTTGCATTTAAGTGGATGTTTCTTAGACACATATCACCCACTTGAACATTATTTCAGACAAGACACATGACAACAGGACAACGTGCCCCAGCACAGTGCAAAAAGCTGCTCATGAACAGCTCAAGGAACACAACAAAGACCCAAGTCAGAGCAGTTTTGTTGGCACAAGATGAACCGAAACACACTAGAACACAGTGAAAACAGAAGCTGCTTGTAGCTACAGAAGCGTGACTTTCCAAGGTGCAAGTTCGCCACAACGTAAACAAATCGGCAACAAAAGCAGGGTTTAGCCTAGCCCATAGGTACCTCTCTGTCTCCATGGTAACACCATACTTTCTGTTTACATCTCCCAAAGTACAGTGGAAACTACAGTCCCAAACATATCAATCACAACTGAGAAAACAAAAAATATAAGGGTAATAAAATCTTTTAAACTGGTTCTGCTCTATGAAAAGATGTTTTGACTGTATTCCCGATGCTCAGAATGTCCTGTCAATGCGTGTCCTTCACTATAAACGTATACACTGTAAAAAATATGTTTTCAACAGTTTTGAACTGTTTTGAACATTTTACTGTTATTTTACGGATTTTAACTTTGTTAAATTACAAATTGTAAAATCACAGACAAAAAAAAGCATTAATATACACATAAGCCCAAAAAAAACAGGCCAGAAGTCTGTATTTTTACAAAGGGTAAAATTTGGTGACCATAAAACTACAATGTTTTTACAATATTTAAATTAGGGGGAAAAAGTCACAACTTCACAGATATTTGTCATATTTGAAAGAAAAAATATTACAGGTTTAAAAAATGGTGAATGTTTTTTTTTTTTTACTGTTATTTTGCTTATTTTCTCTGTTTCAGTGAATTACAGATGACATCTAGTAAAATCACAAAAAAATTTACATGTTGACTTTTTAAAAAAATATGTTGACATTGTAAATATTGTCCATATCAGAAATCTGTATTTTTACAGATAGCTCTTAGTTTTTTGTTGTTGTTTTTTTTTTTTTTTTGCAGTGTGTGATCGTAAAATTACAGAAATTTACTGTATTTAAATCAGGTGTTTTTTGTTTGTTTGTTTTTTAAATCACCATTTCAGGTGAATTGCTTGTAACCAAGCTTGCACTGTAAAATACTGATATGTGGCATGTAGCTGAAATGTCACAGCAGCCACAGGTTCAAGGGTTAATTAATACTGTAAAAACTGCAAAAGATCTGGTTTTGACTGCCAGAATTCAATTTTTATTCAGCAGAGCTACGAGAGGAGGAAAAATTGTTGCCTAAAAAATCATTGCTGAACTTCTTTCCACATACAGATTTATGGAAACTGGCTTGAACTTGTAAACACACCTGAGCTGTGAGGGGGGAGGGGAGGAAGAGATTCTGTCTGAATATGTGTAATGTTCACATACACATCTAACCCACCATTTGCTCAAGAAGCTATAAAGAGAAGACATTCACGGAGCCAAATGAAGTGAGGAGTCCAAAATCACATGCCTGCAAACTACACTCGCTCACATTTCCTGTGCATCACTGCACAAAGCAATTGTTTTGAAAGGGCTGCTGGAGAGCAGTTAAGACAGAATTAATTCACTGCAGTGGTCCTGCTGATCAGGCCGGTGATTACCATTGATCTGAAGCTGCATCACTGTAACTGAGGCTTTCCTCTGTCTACACCTGGAAATCTACATTTACAGGCGTCTGTATCGAGAACCTAGAAAGTCAATGCATGCAGACAGCAAATGAAATTATTACCAAAATGAACAACAACGCCTTGAATGTTTACTATTGTGGATCCTGCATGAACTAAACAATCGCTTTTTACTGAGATGAAAACTTGCAACGATGCATGAAAGCACCCAAGCAGCAGCGGTGATGTGAAATGCGATGTAATGACCAACGTCTCAGCAGCGTTGTGTCTCACCTCTTTGGTCCTCTCCAGCTCGTTGTGCAGCGCCTGTTTGGAAATCTCCACCTCGATGATCTTTTGTCGGAGCAGCTCGTTCTCGTCCTCGGCTCTGCTGCGTTTGTCCTCCACGCTCTCCAACTCGTTGTGCAAACGCACCGACACGTCTTTGGCCACCTGAAGTCACAGGAAGGTCAGTTTAGTTCAAACAGACGATACAGACAGAGTCATTCAATATCTTATAACATCTGCCTTTCAAATATGCACAATTTATAGATCTATCTGTGGACTTACAACCAAATGCCACACATGCTGCAATCAACAGAGTTACATCAATACATCAAGGCAACATGCTGGTACATTACAAATACACAGTGCTGTCGTTTACAGCTCATTTGACCTCTACATTGAAACAGCATAGAAGTGAAATGATAGAACAATAACTGTAAACTGAAAATCTGAGGTTTTTTCCACTTTTTAAACTGTAAACTCCATAAAATCATTAGAATCATAAATTCAAATGAGTTTATAATTTAATTGTAATGTGCTAATTTGCGTAAAGAACTTTGTTATATTTTTTTAAAATAACAATAACAAGTGAAATTCATGAAAAATTTGTCTGGCTTTTATCTAATCCTTACTGCAAATCGCCATTTCTGAGCGCTATTTGCTCCTGTGACACTGTGGACTCAGTGTTACTGCAATATAAAGTCCTGCACCTCAGTGGAAACAGCACAACCATGGATAGAAGGAGAGAGAACTCAAAAATAAAGTATGACACAGTTATAATGCCATAAATCATACAAAAACCTGAAAATCTTTAAATGTTTATTTTTACAAAAATGCAAAAACTTGGACTCAACATGTACAACATTTTCCCAAGTGTCTGCAAGTGTGTTGGTGACAGCTGAATGGCTTTCTCAGTGTGGAGAGGAGCACAGAATTTTTTTGTTTTTTACAGAATTTGTTTAAAGTAAAGAGTAGATTTAAAGACGATTAGTCAAGGGCCCCTGCAAGGTTGAAAATAAGCAGATTTTTTATGTTTTTACAGTTTCTGGCTCTAATAAATGATGGAATTTTGGCTATTTTCCAACAGATAATGTGCCTTTTAAATCCACGAGCAGGTTTTGGGGTTCAGAGGATTAAAAAATATTAAATAAAAGTACAAAGAAGCTGCATGTAGTGACTGCTTGAGGAGATAAATACAGAGGCACAAACAGATCTAAACAGAATCTCAGACCTTGAGGTCCTGCTCCAGACTTCGCAGCAGCTCTCCGTCCACGTGGCCCGTCTGAGCCACCCGCAGGCTCTTCTGCTCGGCCTTTCGCAGGCGGTACTGGAGGATGCGGCAGTTTTTGTTGGAGCGGTCCAGTTCCCTGCGCAGCTCCTGTAGCTGGTAGACCTCCTCCTCCAGGTAGCTGTCTCGCACCTCCTCCATCTCGGCCCGCAGCTCGTCCACTTCATCCTGACAGACGCACAGAGGAAAACAGAGCCCAGCTGTTACTTCCACGCTATAGCAGTCGATAAGAAGACTGGTATCAAACGCCTGCGTCAGTGGAAGTGGCTGCTGTAACACATGCAGGGAAAAGAGCTGCAAAACATGATCATTTTTAAGTTTTGGTCAGAATTTCACTCTTTAAGGATGAAGGAATATCACAAAAAAGGGTAAAAAAATCTAACATGAACCCTGAAGGAGGAGTGTTGACTCTTGTGTTCATGTTATAATCAATGTTATCACTTTTCTCTGCAAACAACAGGAAGCACGTTTAGGTTTCAGTGTTTAAAAGGTCAGAGATAATGACTTCGGTCTAAGGTTTAAGATAACATCAACCTTTAAATACCATTGATTTAAAAGGATCTAATCTTTATATTTGTAAAGAAGTCTTGATGCAGAAATGCTAAACTCAGGGTCTATTGTATGCAACATAAAACCTAACAATACAATACTTAAAATTCATCCTATAGATGGTGCACAACGAAGGGCCATGCGAATAAAATAAATAAATAAATAATGGCTCCATTTATACATTTGCATGCCTGTGAGGTCTTTTATTTAACCACCAAGAAATATGCAATCTCTCATGTTCGCCATCTAATAAGCGAGAATTCGCTCATTAAATTGTGCAGCGTTCTGTATATTAGACTTTAAAGACCCCGTCAAGTCTTTAACCTTGCTAACGTGTCCATATGGTGTTTCTAAAATGTTAGAGGACATGTCATGAGCTAAAAATAAGCAGCCAGCACCATGGCTGAGCATGTCCACCTTGAAACTGCAGTGAACTATAACAGTCCCAAAACATGGATTCAGAACTCCAGGGTTTCGTAATTAACCTAATTAGTAGTTTAACAGTGGTTAAGCTGAGCTGCAGGTGAGCTGCTGTGCTCGAGCTGCAATGGATGGACGGGAATAGTGCCGTGTTAAATCTACGGCGTTTTAAAGCAGAAAGTGACGATTGTAATGAGGAAAAAAAACCTGATATGTAAGTTTTAGGGGTTAAATCAACAACCAGAGCAAGACTTTAACTCTAAAATGGTTCAGTTGAACTTGAATAGGACAGGTCCAAACGTGGGAGTTCATCTTCTCAACATCAGACACTAGATTTCACCGACTAGATCCAAAGCTAGAGCTGCAGGTTTTCCTAGAACAGACTCTGAAGCCCTTGGAGCCAAATTAGTGATTTGTAAGTTTGGATTGTATCAGTAAAGCTCGACTTAGTGGAGCCATGTTATGGACAAAAGTCAGATAATAAGATTGAAAAGGGGGGGTCACCTAAAGGTCATATTGAAAATCTTTCTGTTGATACAAGTTGTGGGGTAAAAACTAGAAAAAACAGACCTCTGATAAAACAATTAATGGGACCTACAGGATGTGTCAGACAGACTCCGAGCATGTCATATACTGGAAGTGCTGCAGTTTTCCCCAAACCTCATTTCAGTGCTGAATATTCAATAAAAGCAGAGTTCAAGATTGAAAGTCTTGGGATGTGGCGCTATCAGGAAAGAGATGCAACATAACATACCTCTGTAGATTATGCTAATACTTTCATATGATTACATACGAGTTCCAGTAATGCAAGTACTCTTAATGCTGGTGATGTAACTCACTAGTCACTAGTTGGCTCTAAGCATCTTATCTCTTGGACTGAAACCATTCATATTCCCCATCTCCTATCAACGTGTACCATCCCAGTCTGGAACAAGGAGACAGATTTATCTGCAGGACTGAGGTGCCACAAGAGTTTGTTCAGTCGCCGCGAGGTTATCTGTTCGCCGTCCATCCCGAGGAGTCGGTTTGCTCTATAGATTTCCCCATGGATGATATTCCAAAGGCTCGAGCGGCACCTGATGAAAAGACAATTGGACGCTGGGAGGGATGGAGGGAGGAGTGGTTTCAATTAATGAAAACCAAATCTATCCTCATTTGGAAAAGCGCGGAGCCCATTGTTATCCGAGGAGGCCCCGAAGGAAGGGGCTAATGACCTCGCACAGGGTCGAGCCGATCGATGGGCAGGTTAACAGCAGAGTCAGAGGCAGAGCAGCATCCTGGGAGCTGGTATATTTAGACAATATCACCGATGTTTATGAAGGGAGCTGGGTCACTAATACTACTGAGTCACCTCTTTAAGAGTGGGTATGTTCACTTAGCAGCTGGAATGAATGCATTTGAACTGCATTTATAGAAGGACTGCAACTTATTTTCTTAATTAATTGTTCAAATAATAGAGATTTTTAAAGGCTTTATAGCAAGTTTTGTCCAGAACAATCAGAGGTTAAAGAAAAGCAATGTACTATTAAACATGAAGAAAGCAAGAAAAGCAGCATTTTTTTCCACTGAGAAGTTGATTTTAACAAACTTTTAGCATTTCTACATGAAAAATGACAGATCAGTGGTTCAGTTAGTATTTCAACTGTAAACACAAGCTTAAAAACAACACGATGATTAACAGATTATGTGACGATTTTGATTTTAATTACTGAATAGAGAAAAATAGACAGAAATTGTCAAGATTCGCTGCTTTAACTTGTTTAGCAAACTGCATGTCTTTGTGCTTAAAACAGATTTTTTGGGGGGATAAAAGATTTTAAAGATTTATGATCAAACAGTCACTTTATTATTCAAAAAGTTTTTATCTATTATTTTAAATAGAGTTGCAATGATTTTTTACATTATTGATTCATCAAATAATTGAATTAAAAAAGGTGATATATTTAATGGAGCCTAACTGATGGTGCAATTGTGTGACTGATGCTGATTTTAAGAAGCAAAAACAATCTTATATTGATATATTATCTCATATTATATGTGTATATGTTAGAGTAAAACTGAAAAGGTAAAATGATGGGGTCACTAATTATTAACTTTCCAGCAATGCTCCAGCAGTTCATAATTTACCAGGACACCACTTGACTCCGCACCACACTCTGCTACATGTGCTGCAGACAGTACTGTCTATAGTAAAGGACATAATTTCTAAATGATCCCAAGCACCTTTATCTGGTGTCTTATCGGTATGTATGGGACAACTTTAAGTGAAAATCAGAAAATGTTTGTCTCAGACCAGCTGTCAAAAGCCCCCAAATATACAATTTACAATAAATGTGGGGGAAAAACCGGAATCGAACAAACTGGCAGTATGTCTTCTGCATTTTTTGCTTAGAAAATGGACTCAAATGTTTAACAAATAATCGAAACAGTTGCTGATTATTCTGCGTAAAAAACAATTCTACACATTAATACGTTATCCATCATGTCATACGTGAACACATCCATCTGTAAATACATCATTTTTCATCTGTACATTATGAAAGTGTCTTTATTTTTTAGCCTTTTTGGTACTTTTGTTTTCTTGTCTTGCTTCTTTCCCACCTCTTTCATATTCAGCCACTGTAACACGTAAATTTCAAGTTTATCTTATCTTATTAATTGATTATTTGACAAATCGTCGCAGCTCCCTCTGAAAATCTGTTCAATTTGGACACTCATTCTTGTCATGCAAAAGCAGCAAAACACCTGAAATATCCAATAAAATAATAGTGTTTTTCCATGAGCTAAAGCAGCAGCAGCAGTGGTGGGGACTCCCAGACTTTGTGGGGCATTGGAGGGAGGGAGGGGGGTAGCAGGGGGGTGGCAAAAGGCCTCAGAGACCCAGCTGGCAGCCTGACAGCCAGGCAGGAGGGTGTTTGAACCCGGCACACATGGGACATCTGACTGTTATCAACTCCTGTGGGATAAAGCCATTACAGCGAGAGCCAGTAAAGCTGATTAACTCTCTTGTGTTTGCAGCGAGCCAGAGAGAGACACAGACATGCGTGATCAAGTTTGAAATAATACTCTCATCAGTAACATGCAAATAAACCCGTCTGGGGGGGAAAAAACTGCAAGATTGTTTGCCGCATTATCTATTTGCCTCCCCCCCCTCCCCAACTTATGAGGATAGCCTACTTAAAGAAGGGGGGAGGGGGATCCTGCATGAAGCCTTCAGACAGGATCTCTGTGCAAACACTGATATTAAAGTGCTGCTCGAAGCATATTCCGTCTTAAAAACAGCAGATTTTTTGCAAATAAATGTGCTCGTGTGAGTTTTTCTAGAAGTTGTGATTGTAAAACTAAAAGGAAAAAAATAATGCAGAATGAATGTAACTGTACTGTCAGTGTGCTGTCATCACCACATGGACAGATGTGACTCTCTCTGTCCCAGATGCAACAGAGTGGAGCTCCATGTGAAGACACTTTGGTGACTTGACAGCAAGAAAATCTGAAAATCTAAAGGGCACACCGGGATGAAGCTACTACCAATAAAGCTCCCATCAATAAAGGTCACATCCTGCAGGGAAGGTTAGGAAGATGACATGATGGATGGGGGGCAGACAGAGGGGGGCTCATGAAGGTGGCAGCTGGGCATCAGGGGGCTCAGATTAGAATCACTTCATCCATTTACATGATGCTTTCAATTAGTGAGCAGGTGGAAGTTCAAGGGCACTTTAAAAAGTCCTGTAACGGGACAGGTTTGGGTTTTGTTTGGGCAGCTGGTGCGTCTGGAAGCAGCCCAAAACCTGCTGTCTTTTAGATGCAAATTTGAATTAGAGGATTATATAAAGCATATGCAACTGTAACTTGCTGAGATCAGCTCGTCCTACCTTGAGGTAGTCGTTTTCGGATCTCAGATCTTCAATCTCCCGCAGCAGGTCCTCCTCGGTTACATCCTTGGTGCCTGGCAGTTTGAATTGTGCGCTTGTGGAGGGTTTCTCCTGCTTGTGTTTCTCTCCGTGGGACCCCGGAGCGGGCTGAGCCTGAGACATGCTTCCCTTGGCGGCGGAGGAAGCCTCGGTTGTGCGCGGCGGAGTCGCGGCGGCTGCAGCAGCTCCGCTCGCTTCTGCCCGCGGAGGATTATCTGCCCCCAGCTGATCCCGGTCACTGGAGCCGGTACCGGACTCGGCGTCGCTACTAGCGGCCGGTGCCAGCCTCTGCTCGTCCGACAGCGGCTCGGACGGACAGTCTGACAGGTCTGAGCTGCTGTCGGTCTGGCTGACCCGGCCGAGAGGCGCCCCGGTCGGTACCCGGATCGGAGATCCATGGCTGAGAGGCCCCGGGGAGGCTAGTTTCCCCTTCTTGCCTTTGGCGAGGATCGGACTGCTGGTGCTGTCCGGTTTGATGCCGGCGGCTTTGGGCTCAGCTGCTGCATGCTGGGGCACCTTAGTGGGCTTTTTGGCCGCAGCAGACTTGGTGTTACTTTTGGCCGTGGCTGGCTTCTCCTTGGCCCCAGCGGTGTTGCGTCTGGAGCTGCGGTTCGGATGCGCTAAGGGCACTGAGGCAGACTGCTGCTGCTGCTGCTTGTTGAGTTTGGGGGATTTGGGGACGATGGCAGGTGGTTTGGCGGAGCGGGAGTGCACATCTTTGAGGAAAGGTCTGGCCGGGGAAGGCGCTCGGTTCAGTCTCTTCTTCTCCAGCTGGTGATTCTGCGGTTTGGTGTCGCTGCCAGAGCCATTGGAGCTCTCCATTATACACCGACACCGGCAGCAGAAGGCTGATGAAGGAAACGATCAATCCACAGCGCCGCGGAAAATCTCCTCTGACATGCGCCACCAGAAAGACAGCCAGGTTTCTCTACTACCTTCTTCCTTGTCGGGCTGTGGATGCGCATCCTGCCTTCACTCCATCCTGACCGCATTCACCAGGTTGTCATTGTGCTCCCCTCTGCCTGCAGCCCATTTAGAGGAAACGCTGCAATAAAAAAGGGATTACTGGGATGACAGACAGGTTGCATCTGCAGACGGGGCTCGTAAGGATCAAGTTGGAGCGCAAGGAGTCAGTCGGAGTCACATCAGCCCTCGTCCTCCCTCTGCAGACCGGCTCTCCATCCCTCTCTTGCACCGGGGCTGTGCGTGTTTGGACCCCCCGTGTCTCGTACCCTTCCTTCCCACTCCTTCCTATCTGACATGTAGGATCTGCAATCGCTGCGGTGTGAGGCTCGACGCCCGTGATTTTCTGCGGGGCGCATGCGCTGCAGCCTCACAAGCGCCCGAGCAACACCCCTTGTTTTCTCCGGGACCAGGCGGGACCAGGTCTGGTGCGCTCTGGTGCGCATGTCCTAACGGCGCACACACACCATTGGCTACTGAACACCTTCACACCAGGAGCAAAAGATGCACTGAGGAGGAACCAATACCCACCTCCTCAAAATCAATTCTCATTTCTGATCTGTTCCACTGAGTAAAACATCACCGTCAGAGACACAATAAAAACAAATAAAAACCCAAATCTGGTAATAAATATAGACATCTTTAATTGCATTTCATTAGTTCAAGAATGCCACAAGTTATAAATACCACAAATCTGCTTTAAACATGCCAAAACTTTTCAAAGATAACAGGTTTAATACAAAGTACAGTCTTCCATCTTTAAGGATACACGTTTCAAATAATAGCGTTCTCTAGAAAGGTTGATTTTTTTTTTAAACACTGAGTAGTATAAGGCTTGGCTATTAAAACAAAGACCACAGGGTTAGTGCCAAATGCTAAAAGTAAAAGAGAGGACAAGGGGAGGGGGGAACAAATGAAAGTTTCACTCCAGAAACAAGTGAGGAAACTGCAGATAAACTTTGTATGCAAAGGTTGATTTGCTGGCTGATAATCTTATTGCAAAATGTGCTGCAGTGAATGTTACATTATGACGCCATCTTTTGTTTTGGCATGAAACTGTCCATTTGTTAGAATACATAATGTGCCGGTTTTAAGCCCACAAAAGCTTAACATGAAACTTCAATTTAAAAAAAAAGAAAAAATGAACAGAGAGAAAGTGAGTTTGAGTAATTTCAGATCAGGTCCTTTGAGCTGGCTCGTCCCTCAGACTCGAGCTTTTACTTCAATACGTAAGAACTCAACAGAAACACTCACAGTGCTACGTCGCCAATATTGCATTCATGTCAAGACGGAAGAAATAACAGTATAGTTGGGCTTACATTACATGCATAGTGTAGCATTTTTGAAAATGTGCAAGTCATGGGATATCCACATACTGGTCCATAACAGAACTGCCAAATTAAACAATTCAAAGCCGCTCTAATAACGCAAAAGTGCACTTTAATCATTAACTTTAAGATGCTTCTTTAATAATTTGTCGTGAAACTCAAAGCGAATCGAGTCTATGATGAAACAAAATGAGCCGATCAAAGTTTCCTGAGTCATTCCAATACTAAACAAACCTTCGCGGAGAGACTCACACATTCTTCTTTAAACTGTATCTGAATTCAGAGGAAGAAGAAAAACAAAAACGTGAAATATTAGTAACAACAACAACAAAGGGTAAAACCATGTGTGTTTGTGTGTCCGGGCTTCTTGCTGTCTCTGTTCCTTCCCTACAAGCCGGTAACACACACGGAGAATGCCCCTATACGAACACCAATCCCTCAAAAGACTACATTACCCATCTCTCCTTGCGTCTCCATCCATCCCACTCTCAGACAAGGTGCGGAGGAGTTCAGAGCGGCCGCCGCTGAGGCAACATCGATCTTTATTAGCGCTAAACTACGAATCGTGTGCTTTTTTCCTTTTTCTTGCACGTCAGCTTAACTCCGGGAAGATGGATTGTAGTGCAAAAACAATTTATACACATTTGAATCGCAGCCACTTTAATACTTTAAGGCAAAAGCAATATAAACTGATATGATCACCACCTCACAACCACCTACAAACGTCTCCACCTTGTCCAGTCATTACAGCTACACACCATATTTACACCATGTGCTTTTTTTTTTGTTTTACCTCAAGTTAACAATATCTAATAATAAGTACGTAAAACTACTGTACCTATAGACCCAGAATTTAAACAAAGCTGGATGTTGTTACCCCTTAACTGTGAGCTAGAAAATGCAGAGAGAACAGTAGGTCTCGAACTTAGTGTGTGTGATGAGAAAACAGGAAGAGAACGAGCTGAAAGGCCCTCAGTAATCCCCCCTCTTCAGAAAATGTGCAACTGCTACCAGAGGGCTCTCTACCTAGAAGGCACCTGCGGGGCACAGCTAGCCTAACCGTCCGAGCAATGAGGTAGTCTGGGTCGAGTGTAGACACAAAGGTGGTGGGAAGTGGGTGATTCACCAGGCCTAAGTGTTAGTGTGTTGCAGGTCATAGTGTTCGGTTACAAAACAGGAGGAGAAACAGGAGGGAGGAGGAGGAGGAGGATAATACTGTTTGTTTCAGAGAGTCCATGCAAGTAACAGCAGCTTCTTTTTTTTTTTATAACTTCAAACTGCTGCTGCCCCCTGGTGGCCATGTTGGTGCTCTGCATGTGTGAGCTGGGTGTGTGCATGTATGTGTGTGTGTGTTGTGTAGGATGGGGGACCACTCTGACTCTCAACAACAGCGCATGCGGGGAGGGGGCAACTCCGGCGGCACTTCCGGTTCAGGCTGCAGCGACAGGACGCTGTTGGAAAGCTCCTTGTTGGGAACTTCCAGAGGCATCTGTTGGATCAGGAACAAAGTCATGTCAGCAGCAGAGACAAAAGAAGAAAATAAAAAGGAGCAGAAGAAGAATCAGAGCTCGTGGATTGCTGTCCTGTGATTGCAGCTGGTTTGCTAAACAGGGAAGCGTTATGAAGGAAACTATAAAAATAGGAATTCCTAAAAGGAAAGAGGAAGAACAGGAAGGAAGCTACTTTAAATGGAGTCTCCTAACGCATAGCTGAGGCAGAACAAGAGCAACAAAATCTAATGTGTCAACAAAGAATGAGCGTTAGTCCGTCTTAAATCATCAGGGCCTTCGGCTCAACTATCTCTGATTTGCTTGAAACTCTTTTTCACCACAATCTACAGACATTTAAAATAATAGCAGTAACTGTCTATCAGCGTGTATAGTCACACATTGAAAATTTAGGTTATGTTCGGATGACAGTATTTTAAGAACTAACAAAGACAAAAGTCTGAAATTTCTCAACATGTTATTGACTCGGATCTTCAATATTGGACAAATAAAATAGTCTCTGATAATGGGAGTTGGAACAAGAGAAAAAAAATCAGGAGTTTATGAGTTTGAATTCAGTTCCCTAAACTGGCATGACATGATGACTGTAAAAATGTCATGCTTTTATCTTTAGTAGTTTCTGAAATATTGTCATTGAGACACAGTCTTAAATTTCAATCCACAAAAAGAACATGCAGAACGTCAGTAGACAGAGCATCATTACAATACTTTTATCTTGTTGATATAGCTAGCTAAAGTTTCACAGATATCTTTATAAATATTCACATTTCATGATATAAAAATGTCAGAATAGAGACCACAAGGAATGTGCAGAACTAGCTGATTATACGTTGCTGCTCTTAGTAGTCGGCAGCATAAGTCCTGGTTAGTTAATATTTTATCCATGTACAACGCTGATTATTTTTTGCATCTAAGATGTTATGCAGCCACCTGCCACTAGCCAGTGCTGCAGCCCTGGCAGACAACTTGTAAAACCAGCACAGTTTGGCAGCTCTTTGAGGTAGAAAATGAAAATAAATTCATATGTAGGCTGCTAAACTAGTAAGTTTGTAAAATATCAGTGTGACCATAAACTGACTAGACTACAGGTGTGAAAGCACCTTTAATTGATGGAAATACAGTGATAGTTACAACACAAAGTATTCAGCAGATACCTTTAGGTTTAGCTATTATTTGGACTAATTGATTAATGTAAGATTAACATTAATGAAACAGGGAGGGACAGAGCTGGTTGTTGTACCAGTTGCAGCTGCACTATACACAGGAATGATGCATTTAACCAATCATTCCTTCTGTGTTGTTGTAGCAGAGAAAATAGTAGAAATGACAGCACGCCAACCTTGCTCAGGATGTCATCCACAAGCTTCAGGAAGATCTCATCCACATTAAAGTTATCCTTGGCACTGGCTTCGCAGAAGCGCATTCCACTTATTCGAGAGGCAAACTGTAAAGCATACAGTGAAATGAGCGAAACACAGTAAGTTCAGGAAAAAGTCTTCTCTCTTGAATTAATAGTAGTTTTAATAAACTTGGTATTTTGCTCCACATGTCAGTATTAACGGTGTGTCTTTAAAGCACAGAGTCAAGTATCGTATTAAATCTAGCCACAGATTACCGTTAGAGAACGGTACTTTTTAGTATCAAGTATCTAGCTGCACTACATTCTGTACAATCATGATTTTTTTAAATTTCCCTGCTATAATTTGTGATTAAACTTTGAAAGATGTTTTGCTGATAATACATCCTCAACACATAAACACATCTGTTTTTGCTCTACTGCATCCACTGTCAGACAGTTTGACCTGTTTGATTTTATAGAAACTAAAGATGAGGGAGGATTCGAGCGGAGTTGAACCCACCCTCTCTCCTTGTTGTCTGGAGATGATGCGATCAGTCTCACAGTCCAGCTTGTTCCCGACCAGCAGAAGTTCTGCTTCCTCTGAGGCGTACTGACATAAAACAGAGAGCAGAGCGGACTCACGTCAGGAAATCACCCTCACCGTATGCCAGAAAAGTCAAACCGAGTTACTGCAATTAAATCTGCTCAGCGTACTGTGACACTCAAATCTGGTTCTGTGAATAGTATGACGACTGAAGGGGAATTTCACAATAAAAAGGCATTATACACCGATAAGCCACAACATTAAAACCACTGACAGACGAACACGTTATGTGGTTACTATGCAGTGTTCTGCTGGGAAACTGAGGGTCCTGGCATTCATGTGGATGTTACTTTGAGGTGTATAAAACACCCAAACATTGCAGGCAGGACAGTACACCCTGACCCGGCTTGGTCTCCAAACTGAACACATCCCAGTCTAATGGAGCATCTGCAGGATGCGCTCAATCAAGCCACCCCACAACCAACAGGACCTGAAGGACCCATTGCCAACACACACCAGGACGCCCCCAGAGGTCCCATGTCCAGCCACAGTGAGCCAGAGCCGTGCTGTTCTGGCAGCACATAAGGAGATCTACACAGCGTTAAGTGTTGATTTAATTTCTCCTCGTGGGTTTTCAACAATTACAGGGTGTTAATTGGACTGGTGCAATTCAATTTTTGGTAACTTGCAGCAGCATTTGAACTGTGTTTTTTCTGTCGGCTAAAGTAGAACTTTTCATGAATACTAATGTAAACATAAAAATGGAAGGAGTGATTGACTGAAAACATTCTTGACACTTGGGACGACAAGTTCTGCCAAAAGAATGCAAGCTCTTGAAAACCAAAACAACACAAACTCTTGTCACTGCGGTGAGTGATAAGCTCAAAAACCAACTGTGGGATGAATATTGTGGAACTTCAGTTGAGTAAACAATAATTGTTTTGCATTTTATTGAAGGAAAGGGAAAAGTTGTAAAACAAAAACTATACAAAGAACATGTCCTGCTATGCTGGACTGTTGTTTACCTTGTCTATCATTTTCATCCATTTGGGCAGGTCATCAAAAGTCTCCTGTTTTGTCAGATCATACACAAGCACTATTCCCTTAGCTCCTCTGTAGTAAGCGGATGTGATGCTGTTGAATCTCTCCTGGCCAGCAGTGTCCCTGGAAGAAATGCATTCAATCAAACATCATAAAAAGTCAGTCATGTGAGCGCAGAGGCTCCAAAAAGTCCTGGACGAACAAAACACTGATTGTTTTTCCTTCATTCAAGATGATTATGACCAATAGGTCAATGTTTAAAAGAGGGAAACTATGATCAAGTAAACAAAAAATGTAAAAAGAACAATCAGCTCTATGTCAACCTATTAGGACTTTGACTACAGATTAATACTGATGAATCTAATATATTAAAATAGTTTGTAGTTTCTTTAACCACTGCGTATGTGAGTCATTTTAAAACAGTGAATCACTCTTTTGTGTGTGGGCTAAATCTGGTATTCACATCATCATCTGGTATCTAGCTGAAAAACACACAACTGAAGAATTTGGTTCCAAAATGAAACTTTTACACTCTCAGCAAGGAGGAGATGTATTTCTAAAAATGACTGCAGGATCAGAATTAAAATTGTGCTTTAAAGCAGTATCAGAGATCTACATCTTCAAAACGAATGCGTTTCATTTTGGAAATGAACTCTTCCGTTTTCAATTTTCATTCTGAATACATGTTTTGATTCACTTTAAGCTACGACGTGACTCAGCTGATCATCTGAGTGTGAATTAGCAGCATGACAGACAAGCGGTTTGAGCTACACTCACAGTGCAGTGTTACTGTACCTTCAGCCAGCTAGTCTCTCCCTTTTCCCCTGTGAGTCACAGTCAGGCTTAAAGTGCGGACAGAGGCGGCAGCACAATGGCAGAGGTTAGGTAAGGCTGGGCGCGGCAGTGATGGAGCTTGACGTGAGCAGTTCGACATGAGAGACAACACACAGTGACGGCAGCAACCCTGATCCCACAGGACGAGGAGTTTGGTCAACAGGGGGTAAAAGGGAGGATGTGAGGTGGTGATGGAGGGGCGGGTGGGGTGTTAGTGAGCAGGACAGATGTGTTAGTGAAAACAAGCGATGGAGTTCCCACATTTAAGCCGAGCACTCTCATACACAACTGGTCCTAACTGTAATTTTTTTTTTTTTTTTTTTTGCACGTTAATCTGTTTTTAAATCATTGCACACATGAATGTATTTGAGAGCCTTTGAAGTCACAGGACAGTAAAGACATGACAGATCCAAATAACTTCCTGTTCGTCAGCCGATGGAGCAATAACACGAGCCTGGTTCAAAACCTTCATATTGCTGATTTGTGCAGCAATTACAAACAGCATCTGATTTATGGCTGAGAATAAATCTAGTTCAATTCACAATTTGAAACATACAATAAATGTGGTTTAGGATACAGTCGTCCTCAAATGTGTTCATACCCTCCCATTAAAGAAGGAAAGAAACAGCTGTCACTGAAATAAGTTGAAATTGACAAAAGTAATAATAAATAAAAGTTTAATGAAGATTGCTTTTGAATTGTGGTTCAACAGAAATATATATTTAAAAAAAAAAACAAGCATGATAGGACTCGTAAACTATTATAATTGAAATTATAATTTAGCAAATGTTTTATTTATTCTTACTTTTTTCAGTTTCTAGTTATTTGAGTAACGACTGTGAATTTGCTTTGTCTTTAATGGAAGGGTATGAATACATTTGAGGACGACTGTATATGAGGTGTGGCTGTTAAATAATGAGATAAATGCTGTAATTCAAATGTATGTAATTTGAGCAGATGCATATGTGGGTATGTTTGAACCACTTAGGTATCCATGCTGTGACTCAAGCCCAGTCCTATTCTTTAATAGCCACACCTCCTCACGACGCTGCTGTGTCAATGGTTTTGCAAACTCATGCCGTCCCTCCTTGTGTGTCAGTCATGCTTTCAATGGTGTCTCATGCCAAAAAAAGCACCACAACATAAATATATGATGCAATGAATGCTGAAATAAGTCTGACTTCTAAAAATTCTACCATACACACATAACATCACACAGAAAAATCACAATTAGTTATTTTCCCCTAATTGTTCAGCCCTAATGTGATTATCAAACTGCATAATGCTTCACTGTCTACAGTGGTCATTTGTTATACTGCTAATTATTCCCTGACACATGCATCACTAGCTGACAGATGAGAGTATTGTCAAGTCACCATTACTTATATAGCACAATTAAAATCAACAGACATTGAACAAAGTGATTTCCAACAGAGAAATAAGATTAATCTAACAAATGTATCTTGCTAATTTAAACATTAAGGTTAAGACCTTTCTATACTATAGAGAGACACCCAACATATCCCATGGTTCTCTCTGAGCAGGTACTTGGCCACAGTGGAAAGGAAGGACTCTGTTTTAACATAAAGAGACATCCAGCAGAACCAGACTCATCTGCATGTCGAGGCAGATTCCCACCAGATTGTAAAAAAAAAGAAGGAAGGTTGTCTTTAGTGTTTCATTTTTCTGAGAAATCTGACGACAAAGTGACATTACTACTATTCATTAGTCCTTTAGAAACAATCTGTTAAGGGTGTTAGCGATCATTTTGGAATGTGACAATCACTTTAGCAGGTGTGTCACAATCGTACAGATACAAAAAACAAAAATCTCGTTTACAGTGAGTTTGGCTTTAGCTTGAACAGTACTTTACAACATTAACTTTGGGCTGTCAGCAAAGAAGCGTCATCTGGAAAGCATATCGCATACAGAGGTTCATCTGACAAACCAGTCGCCAGTGCCAATGACAAGGACTTGAAACCTGATGTCTTACTCTCACAGATAACAGTGCTGATACACGCACTTGTTGAAACACAGTTAGAGTTTGAATAAAGTCTCTGCAATGCTCACAAACTATTCTTTCAACCATTTAACTGTAATATAAAACCTGAAATCAGAGAAGGGAGTAATAATGGTTGGGATATTATTTTTATCATGTGTCAAGTGTGTGTAAACTGTAAGTCTTTCATACAAAATCATGTGGAAAAGATGCAAAGTCTATAGCAGTAGACGGTCATGTAACCCAAAATGAAGTGAATAAAGTTGAAACTTTGGTTTAAGTTAAACGTTAGATTCTCACTGGAGTCACTAGTTCTTGATGTTGGGGTCTGAATACAAAAACAAACATGTATTACTGAGTGTTACAAAGCTGAGATGCCCCCAGAAAGCACATAATTAGTTTTGGTCAGAGCAGCCTGCGAGGAGTTAGGACAGGCTGAGGAAATGCACAGAAGAGTGAAGGACATCTAGACTTCTGGCCAGTTACTCACCATATCTGTAGTCTGATCTTCTTTCCTCTCAGCTCAACTGTCTTGATTTTGAAGTCAACTCCTGTGAGGGAGATCACAACAAACACATGAACGCAGACAAACACCAGCATTTCCTGCGTTGTTTTTGGCTTTACGTGGGCATAATTTCAGTTAAGTGGCTGCTTGGTTTGACAACGTAATGCTCATTAAAGGCTTACATCCTCCTCATTTCTATTTTTTAGACTCCATAATTTGGCTAGACGTACTAAGTTCCTTGGGTTTAATTCCTGCCAAACACTGAGCAAGGAAGTTGTGTCTGTATTGTAGTTTTAAAACATTATGTTCTATTATAACAAAAAAAAAACCCGACATTAGAAAACAGTACTTTCAGGCTGATTTGAGTAACTGTCCTGCTATTCCCTTTATGGTACCTTATAAAATAAACACAATATTTGTGACCCCACGGCTCACACAAGCTGTGAGTTGTGTCACATTAGTGACAAGGCACAAAATGGAGCTCTGCCACAGCAGCTGCTTGAGTGTGACTATTTTGGGACTGGACACTATGGCTGGCTGCTGTACAGGTCACAGGACTGTTTACCCAATCCTACAAATAAACACACCTCATGCATTTCAAATCTGCAAACATGTCACAGGAATCTGCCTTAGTCAAGTACACTTGTTTTTAATAAGAAGATATGCCTGTGATCATGGGTAAATATATGTTTCCAGTGTTAATGCCTTCAGAGTTGTGAGAAAGAGCTCTTCATAATAACAATAATAACAGAGATGGCACTGGATTGGACAAGACTATATCCTGATTCAAACAAGCAAAACATGCACAACAGTAGTAACTTAGGTTATCGAGACCAAAAGTAGACAGGTAGAAAGAGTTTAAACATCTGCAGGGACTCATTTGAACGGTTTAAAATATACAACAACCTTCCAAACACTATACGAAGCCAGAAACGTGTAAATGAAATGCAGGAAAACACTGTATTTACTCAGTAGCAACATGGTCAACTAGCTAAGACTGCTTTTAGCTAGAATACTGGTATCGGTAAAGTTAGCGGAGTTAGCCACCAGTTAAAGCTAACAGTGTAACCTCTGCTCAGTCCCACTACACAGGAAAGACAATACGTTGACTCCGTCCAGCCTGTAGCAGCGAAAGCAGCCTCACTCCAGTAAGTAGTCGGAGCCCTGCTACATGCTGTAGCTACTTAAATAAAAAAAAGTTGACAAAAACAGCAGCCGTAAACGCCTCCAGTCCTCACCTACGGTCGACTTGCAGGCTTCGCAGAAAGTGTCGTCGGTGAATCTTTCCATGAGGCTGGTTTTACCGACACCACGGGAGCCAATAATGATAATTTGAAGTTTGAAATCAGCGGGTCTGGGAGGCATCTTCCTGCGGCGGGACTGAGACCCCAGAGCGGGGGACGAGTTCGCGGAGCCCCCGCCGCCGCCACCGGCGGCCCTCCGCGGTATGTCATACCTCGGATCCATCAGTAATTCCACATTTGTGATTAAAGGAAGAACAAACAAACACAACTAAACTGGTATACAACGGAAACGCGAAGCTATTTCTAACTTTCCTTTGTGTGTGAAGAAGTTTGGTAAAGTTTGTCAGCAGACAGTTTGTTGTTGTTCAGCCATTAGAGACCGGGGCGCTGTGACGTCCCTTCCGTGTCCGGTGCTTGTTTATTAGCTCATGTTTAAAATCATTTGAATAAAAATAAAAATAAACAAATTCATCAGTCAGGCAGGTCTCACACTTATTTTTATTATTATTATTATTTTTATGTTTTCATAAGACAACCGTCAGTAATTGGTATTTGGTGTGGAGACACTTTGCAGCCAGGTTTAAACTTTAAATAGCATTTCAATCATTTTTACTTCAAAAGAAGCGGTTTTGAGGTAAGCTGATGTAATAGGATGATATTCTAATAGTACCAAATAATTCTGTGTTTTATTTATCCATATCCATATACAAACTTTGTATGTACTGAGAGTCATTTAGTGAAGTCTGTTAGTGATCATGTGCAATAGTTAGTGTCCCTCAAACAAAGCATCTGGTCTGATGGCCACAGAGATCGATGTTGGTCTCATCAGATCAAAGAAACTTCCTCCACTTGACTTGAAAGTCTCCCACAGTCCTCTGGTGAACTGTAGTCTAAATGTATTTTTTCACCAGTGACTTTCTCCATGCTACTCTCCCTTAAAGCTCTGACTGGTGTAGAGCAGCTGGGTTCCAGTAGTGATGTCCAGGAGTGTTACCTCACCAGTGACTGGACCTTTTAGGATGCAGGTGTTTTTCATACAGTCACTTGAGACACATTTATTTCACTTAGATGATCTTATTTTCACTAACTGTATGACTTCTAGCACCAACTGGCTGCCTCTGTGTTGAGTTATGTGTCACTTTAACGTGGGTAAATGTAACCACTTATTTGTTATTTCATATTTTTAAGTAATTAGCATCAATTGTTAAAATCTGTTTTAACTCTACATGAAGGAGTTGTGTGTGTTTTTTTTTTTTTTAATAATTATTTAGTTTTGTTCAAAAGCCTAATTAGATTTACCATGATTTAATGTTGAACAGCAATAAAACAATACTTCTCAGTGGGTGAATATTTTTTATAAGCACTATAAAATATTAAAGTGTAAGAGTGGGACTTTTAAGGGAAAATACCCCCTGATTCATTTTCAACAACAGTGATACTAATGTTGTAATAAACTTAGAATTTTTGTCCTCGGTCTATTGATTCTAAATGTACTGGCAATAATCAAACGTGTTCTTTTTGTTTGTTTGTTTGTTTGTTTGTTTTTTAGCAATCCAAAGTGATTTCTGTATGTGTTATCTAAAATTTATGTTGCAATTATTGTAAGAGCAGAATTAGCATTTGAAAATAAAGTAAATCTCCTTAATATTAATAGCAGAGGTTCCATTTTTCTCAGGTTGTTAGGCAACATGTCCCTTTTCTGGATTATTTATTTTGGTCTATATCAGTAAAGTTGTAGTTTGATTTAAGTAATTTATAACATTTGTTATGTTACGCATCTTTTTTATGTACATATTATACTAGCATTCAGCTATTTAAAAAGAAATTATACTGTGTTCTTAACCCCAATTTACTCTACTGAAAAAAGTATATACGTAGTTTGTTAAATCTTATTAAATTCCTTTTGTGCTTCGCCTTTCCTGTATTTCGTATTCTGTTTTGTCCTCCGCGGCCGCCGTAGCCTGCGACACGGGATGACGTAGCACTCGAGGAGGAGTTCCTGGTAATCCAAACATCGACGAAGCAACACTCAGCTATTTATCGATAACAAATCCGTAATATCTAATCGATTCATCACCGGCATGGCCGCTCAGAAGATCAACGAAGCCCATGAGCACATAGCTAAAGCGGAAAAATGGTGAGTGTCGACAGAAATGTGGATTATTTCCTGCTCAGAAAACAGCAGTTTGTGTTACTATGATGTTAGCTAGCTATAAGGCCACTGGGGCTTCTTCTGCTGGAAGGTTATGCGACATTAATTGACACTATCATAGCATTATAATCACATTAGGTTGAGTTAACAGATCGTATTAAGCCACCAGTTTCTCTCTTTGTCCGTGATTGATATTAAACTGGTCAGCTGATCCATATTTGTTCGCTTGAACCGTTTGTGATTCGTTCATTTTCATGTTTTTGTAGCTTAAAGACAAGTCTGACAAAGTGGAAGCCTGATTTTGACAGTGCTGCATCAGAATACGCCAAAGCAGGTACAATGAATCAATTACCCCCCTTAAAAACTGTAGTGGTGCATGAACCAGAAATCTTATTTTACTGTTCTGTGTCCTGATTTTTTTATTTTATTTTTTTAGCTGTGTGCTTCAAGAATGCCAAGCAGTATGACCAAGCAAAGGATGCTTACCTGAAGGAGGCTGAGTACCACACAGAGAACAAAGCGTATCCTTTCTGTGGTACAATACACTGTGTTTCTATAGTACCGTGCAAAGCTGGAGTCACAAGGTGCTATGCACAATCATAAAACAATGTAAAATGCATCAATAAAACCTTAGAAGTGACATCATACAATATTAGATAAATGCCAGTCTGCGGATCTTAGGAGCTCCAGCAAAAGCAACTGGACTTCTCTTGTAGGTTCTTGACAATGATTCACCTCGTCAAAAAGGCTTCTTCAGTTAGAGCAGAGAGATTCCTACAATCAGCATGACATGGACAACAGACAGTCTACACAGACAGAAACTGACAGTAGCAGGGAGCTTGTTCCACAGCATCGGGGCTAAAACAGTAAAAGTATGATCCACCTTTGCTTTAAGCCTACATTTTTAACAGCAGTTACTTTTCTGATCTGAGGGGTTTGTGTGTCAGATAAGGAGTTGATGTGGAGCAGAGCCCAACCATGTAGAAATGAAAGAGTTCATGCAATCTTTAATTGAATTCTATTTTAAATAAATAAATAGGAATCAGTGTAATTCAGCTCCCTGGTGCAAGTGTTTGTGAGTGATCTTGCTGCTGAGTGTTTGTGTCAATAGGTGATTGCTGCAACATTTAGGCGAGTAAAAATTGAGTTGCAATAGTCCAGACAGGAGAAGATAAGTATGTGCATGAGTCATTCAATCGATTGATTGTTTCGTCAATAACAGGAAAGTCATATAGTCACTTTTAGGGAACATCTGCTGGTTTCAGCTTCTTTCTTCAAGACTTTATGACATGCCACCGTGGGCTGCAGGATGTTTAACTGGGCATTTTAACATTTCATAGATTAAACAAACACTTCTTGCACCAAAAGAATTAGTTGTTTAGTTAATGATCATGAATCATTAGTCGATTAAAGATAAGTCATAAATAAAGTATACGTATTTATAGAATATTATAGCTATTTACTGGTTTTAGTTTCTCAAATGTAAAACTTTGCTGCTTCTCTTTGTCATACATCACAGTTTATGATTTATCTTTGGGTTGCTGGACAGACAAATGAAGCCGTCTGAGGAGGTAACGTAAGGCTGCAGGAAGTTTGCATTGCAGTTTTGACATTTCATAGACTGGGTGAATCAGCGACTAATCAAGAAAATGAGAAGTAAAGTGATCACTAGTTGCGGCCCTGCTACGCTCTCCACAGTGATGTGACTTGACACTGCTGCCGTTTGTTTTCTTAACTCACCCTTCAGGCTTTTTCATGCTGCAAAGTAAGTATCTTTTATAACTATTACATTGAGTCAGCTGCAAACATAAACCCCACCAGTTTTATTCTAACTCTCCTCCTTCTCCTCTTCAGGGCGATTGAGCAGGCAGGTATGATGATGAAGGTGAGTGCAGCCTCGGTGGACACAGCTATGAAGTCCTGTGTCCGCAGCACAATTGTAACTTTGCTGTGTTTGCACTGCAACAGGAACAAAAGAAAATGCCGGAAGCCATCCAGTACATAGAGAAAGCCTGCATGATGTACATGGAGAATGGGACTCCTGACACTGCTGCCATGGCTCTGGACCGGGCTGGAAAGTAAAAAAACAACACCTTGTTTTCTCTGCATTTTATTGACAGTGCAACATTAGAGGAAGTTTTACAGTTTAACTTTGGAATTTAAGTTTCAAGTTTTGCTGAGCGCTTGTCAAACTTTCCTGCAAACTAAAACACATTTTTCCTCCTCAGACTGATAGAGCCCATAAACCTGGAGAAAGCTGTGGACTTGTATCAGAAGGCAGCGGGTGTATTTGAGGTGAGGATGTCAACAAAAGCGGAATATTTTAGGTTTTGATTTTTGTATATCAAATTTAGTTTAGACATTCTTGTTTTGCATCTGTAGAACGAGGACCGCCTGCGTCAGGCAGTTGAGCTGCTGGGAAAAGCCTCCAGACTTCTGGTCAGGTTAAAAAGGTAAAGGAAATACTCATGGACAGGATTTTATAGTGTCACCAGGTTTTTTTTTAGCAGATGGTTTTTGATTAAACAGAGGCTCAGGCTGCTGTGTAGGTAACAGAGGTTGGGTCTGTTATGGTTCTTTTCTGAGATAGAAGTCTTTCACATGATAAAATCTGACCCGATGAGTCTGTTAATTTCAGTTCTGTTGATTCTCCCAGTTTGGTATCACTCATACCTGTGTTAGGATCACATTACAGCTCAGTGTCTGCTCCTCATCAACCCTCTCTGGTCTCCTCTTTGTAACCAGGCTGGATGAAGCAGCCGTCGCCCTGCAGAAAGAGAAGAACATGTACAAAGAGATCGAGAACTTCCCAATGTGCTTCAAGGTGGGTACACTTGTTGTTTTTCATTTCATTAATTCTTCATGCACCTTAATTAACAGTTAATTTATCATCAGAGTCAGTTATAATTTAGTTTCCGGTGTAGACAATGGTGTGGTGTCTCCTATCCTGAACACAGCTTCACTAGTTTATTCCTCTCAGCTCATTCATAAACCAAACATGTGTAGATGCAAAATCTAGTGCACGAACGGGGACATCTGCCTCGACACTGAACTACCGAGACTGAAAATGCAGTCATGCAGTGCTTTCAGAGTAAACTACACTGGACGTGTTTGTTGTAATGAAAGAACCTAATTCAAGAGGCTTTGTGTTTAATAGATGTTGGACAATTGTGAGGTTTTTCTTTTAATCAGGAAATTTGTTAATAATACAATTCTATAATTTCATTTCACTTTTATCCAAAGCGACGAACATCTGAGAGCAGATACACCACAAGCAAGGATCTAGTCAGCATAAATAGTCATATTATTATAATAAATGTAATAATTATACTCGAAGAAATAACATACAGAAATATTATTATTATTATTATTATTATTTTCATCAGCCAGAGGAATTGTGTTTGAAGTAGGGCTGAATAAAATGAAACAAAACAAACAAAAACTCTATTGTGGTGATTTTGACAGATGTTTCAAATGTGATATAAGTTCGGATTTTTGTTGTAATTGTAATTTTTTTCGTTTCTTTTTCACTGAAACAAATATAAAACTGAAACTGGGATGTTTGCTGCAGTCTGCACCAAGCAGGCATTTTTCTTTACATCTAGAGAATGTGATTTAGAGACTGATCCGTGTCCGTAGCACCTTAATGCTTCATCTAAAATGATAACTTGTGACTTATTTTGTCGCTAATATTTCCATCAGCTGTTCAGCCCCAGTGTGAAGTGATTGAGCATGACACTGATTTATCAGCAAGGGGGTTGTTGTGCGACTCAGCCTGCCTTCAGACCAGACCAGAGATGAGGCAAAAGTAAACAAGACATAATATTTACTGAATGTTTACTTATCTTATATGTTGCTGTTTTGGTTTTTTTTTTTCATTCCTCAGAAAACAACTGCTCAAGTGCTGATTCATCTCCACAGAGGCGACTACGTAGCAGCTGATAAATGTGTCAGAGAAAGTTACAGGTACGAGAATTCAACGATGCCATCTCTGATCTAAAATAACTTGAAGCTAAACTCTTCTTGGTGAAAGCTTTTAGGAAAATCTCCTCAAAGGTAAAACGCTGCCGCACTTTTACCTGAAGCGTTTTTTGGATCTCCAACAGTCTGCCCGGCTACAGCGGGAGCGAAGATTGCGTCGCCATGGAGACGCTACTGCAGGGCTACGACGAGCAGGACGAGGACCAGGTGTATCGCGTGTGCAACTCACCTCTACTGAAGTACATGGACAACGACGTGAGTACCGTTGGTCCATAATCACCTTGAAACATGCGTTTTATCTTTCAGTGTCTCCCATTGAGTCAAGATTACAGAGTCGGACTTTTGGCGTCAGTGAAGTCTGATATGTTGGCTGGGCCTGTAGAAGTCTTTATTTTTGCTGCGGCAATGCGTTCTTTTATTCATAATTGGGTGACTTTTCTGAACAAGCTGTGCCTGAATGTTTCACTGTTATATAACAACATGTTGTGCTTTTGCTGAGTTTACCCGTTTATTATGTTGTATGTCCTTGAAAAGCTTTTTTTTTTAAACATTAAATAACATTTCAAGGTCTTCTAGAAAGGCCTTGGTTAAAGCTGGAGTGTGGGAGTTGTACGTATAAATAAACGTTGGTTATATTTAGTCGTCGCCAAACGAGTTCGCACAATCCTGATTAAGCCTATCAGCACCAAGTCAGGCTCTCTGAGTTTCACAGTATTTCTGTGTTTTAAATCTGGTGTCTGCGGCAACATTCCCAGTAGTGATGCATTTTATGTCAACTTAGCAGTGATTGGTTTGCCAGAGCTGGCGAGGGAAGCTACTGTAGAGCTGGAGATGCAGTCGGCTGCAGTAAATAAGAGTACTGCAGAGCCTGTAGTGCCCAAAAAATGGAAACGTTTCTGGCACTCCAGATTACAAAAAGAAGCTCTGCGTTCAGAGGAAGGATTGCAGAGTAAAAATGAAAGCGGGACATAGGTGAGCCTTATGTTATATTCATGCATCAACAGTATTTGTGTAATTCCTCTTTCTGCCAGAAGGAGGAGACAAAGGTTCCACTCTGCAGGTCATTCAGACTTTACAGTTGAGCAGCGGAAAATGAAATACTGAATGCACTCTGTAGTTTAAGTCTTGTTCCGGACGGCGTTTTAAACATGATGATATGACGGGATGTGGTCTGTAAATGCACACAGACGAGATGCATCCTGTCTGCAGCCGACACAACAGCACATTTAATACGATTAATCTGATGGCTTGAAGTTTTTCCCACAGTTTTATTGGTTGCACGTGTTGGTTTGAACACATTTCCATGCATCAGCTTATGAAAAGGACTTTTGATTTCCTCCAGTTTCAGACAAAGTGAGATTTTACTGATGTTACGAGGACAGTGTGAGTTTAAAGGATGCTAAACTCGACTGCTGATGTGATTCATGCAGAGAAAAATGTATTACATTTACCACATGTACTACACTGGCAGCGTAATGTGCAATATTTCATTTTCATCTCATTTTTCAGGTGTATCATGTGTACTACTACCTGTTACCTCAATATCATTGCCAGCATTACTGTTCACTGTCATATTCTTGTCTTATTTTAGCTTACTGCTTTTATTTCACCAATTATTGTGCATGTATCTTACTTTTCTAGTTTTAAGGTACTGCATTTCTTATGTTGTGTCATTTAGTTTTTTCTGAGCAATAATCTGGCACAAGAACACCTCAGGATTCATAAAGTTTCATCTCATCTTAGCCTATCTTATCTTATGACATAACCAATGTGTACATGCAGGGTCTTAAACTCTGAGAACTAACAACACATTTCTGTGATGCTGCTCTCTGCTCCATTGCATCATCAGTGACAATAACTTTATGAGTTTATTGTTTAATAACTGTATTTGCACTAAGCTATCGTTCACTCTAATTTTGCACTTTATTTCACTTTAAATATGCCTTTTTGACACATATCTGTAGATATAAACAGCAGATCAACACTCAATGTTCTTGTTTAAATGCACCTGTGTTGTACTTTAAAAGCTATTAAACACAATAAAGCTGACTCTGATTTATTCCCCCCAGTACGCCAAACTGGCCATCTCCCTGCGGGTACCTGGAGGAGGAGGCAAGAAGAAGAAGGCTGCTGCTGCTCCACAAGGTGGCGCTAGCGGGGCGCCGGCCGCCGCCGAGGACGAGGACGACTACGAGGGCGGGTTGTGTTAGCCTCCAGCCTCCGTCAGAGCGCCGACTCTCCCCCCATCTGCTGCCTCCACTACACCCTCTGTGTGCGAGTTAAAACCCTCTGAGCTCTGAAGCCCCGACCGGCGGCTGTTTGATCTCTGTAGAGCGAAAAAATACAAAAATACCAACAAAAAGTGAAAATAAAACCATCCCCAACAGTTACAGTAGGTGTTGCAGAAGAGTCGACCTGAGTGTAACCAGCCTTTTAATTAGTTTTTTTGAGGTGGATCCTCGGCCTGTCGTATGAACGTGTTCTATTGTTTCTCGTCTCTGTGAAGCTGTACATTTTGCTGTTATTGTTTGTGGGTATAGAATATTATAGGTATATACAAATGTTGAAATAAGATTCAGAAATACTCTAAATATGACCTGATCAGTGTATAGGTGTTTATTTGTACAGAGGTAATTTATTCAGTATTCAGGGCTGCAGCCTGTTTGAAAATGTTACTGGAGCAATATGCAATCAGATTGTTAATGCATGTCTGGATTAATGAAATGGTTAAATAAAATCAAGCAAATTTGTCAATATTAATGCTTAAGAATGATTCCTCAGCTTATTCAGTCCATCCTGGAGCATTTAAAAAAGACAACACGACGCAGCTTGTAGCCAATCGTAGACTGTTTCCCTTCGTCTACCTCGAGGTGTGTGCTACCTTTAAAATAAAAAATAATCATGGCTGTGTCTTTATTTCCAACTTCCACAGTTCAATCCTCGAATTCAATAACAAAAAGGGACCATGCAGTGAGAGTTTACGTGCAGTTCCCCCCTGACTTCCTTGTTGATGCTGCGTTTGTGTTTCTGTGACTCGCTATGAGGAAAAACTTCATTTAAATGCCAATTAAATCTAATATCACTAAAGGTAATAAGGGGGTTGTTTACATTTCTTTTTTTTATTTGTGCTGTTGCCCACTTCTTGTATATTCCTCAAAAGCATATCTCCAAACTTTGCACATGCATCAATAAACATTTCCGTTGTGTGGCATTTTATGGTCTGTGTACATTTTCTTAAATGAGTTAGCCGACACATTTTCCATATTTGAGCCTTGCAGCGGCTGCAGCTGTCGGCACCAGACTGGCCTCTGACAGACGTGTAATGACTGTGTAGCTTCCTCAGACCTATTTGTCTTTGATGAGACTAATGCTTTCTCCCTGTTAAGCCATATTTATTGCTCGTGCTGCTTTCGTGATGCCTCCAGTTCTGAGTGACTCTGCAGAGCTTTTGTGCATCATGAGGATCCAAACTGGACTCCAGTGTGCGTCAGTGCTGCTATTGTTGGAGATTAAAACGCTCGACTGCTTCTGGTGCGAGTGATGAACCCGAAATCCAGGTCTTGTGTACAGTTTACAAAATACTTCAGTAGACTGAGATTTTAATGAAGAAGTTATAAACAGTTAACGAAACACGACATCTTTGATTAATAGAAAGCTAATTTTGTAGAGTAGTTCACCATTTTAGAAGGGTTTATAAAAGTATAATGATGAAACAGAGCTGAGGTCACTTTTTCTATAAAGTTGTATTAAACAGTGATGCAACTACAGATCAACTGATTATCAGTTTGGTTGATTATTGAACCCAATATTCAGCATTTTTTTGATCACCAATATCCTTTTAGCAGGCCTTTGGATCGATACAGTTGAAACCAGAAGTTTATATACACTAACATACATGTGTAACCTGTTTTCTCAGTCTGACATTAAATCAGACTAAAGTTTTCCTGTTTCAGGTCAGTTAGGATTATTAACATTCTTTCACACCTGTGGATGTATTTTGCATACATTAAGATTACTATGCCTTGGAACTATCAGGGAAAGCCCAGATGATGATGTCATGGCTTTGGGAGCTTTTGATTGGTTAATTGATAACATTTGAGTTAACTGGAGGCACACCTGTGGATGTATTTTAAGGCACACCTCAAACACTCTGCTTCCTTTTGTGACAACATGGAAAATCTAAAGAAATCAGCCAAGATATCAGGAAGAGAACTGTGGACCTCCACAAGTCTGGTTCATCCTTGTGTACAATTTCCAGATGCCTGAAGGTTCATCTGTTCAGACAATTCTATGGAGACATGTCCTGTGGTCTGATGAAACTACAATTGAACTGTTTGGTAATAATGACCATCGTTACATTTGGAGGAAAAAGGAGGAGGCTTGCAAGCCTGAGAACTCCATCTCAACTGTGAAGTACGGGGGTGGCAGCATCATGTTGTGGAGGTGTTCTGCTGCAGGAGGGACTGGTGCACTTCACACAATAGATGGCATCATGAGGAAAGAACATTATGTGGAAATATTGAAGCAACATCTCAGGACATCAGCCAGGAAGTTAAAGCATGGGCTCAAATGGCAATGACCCTCAGCATACTGCCAAATTAGGTACGAAGTCCTTTGAGGACAACAAAGTCAGTGTTGTGGAGCGGCCATCACAAAGCCCTGATCTCAATCCTGTAGAAAATTTGTGGGCAGAGCTGAAAAGACGTGTGGAGCAACAAACCTGACTCAGTTCCACCAGTTCTGTCAGGAGGAATGGGCCAGAATTCATCAAACTATTGTGAGAAGCTTGTGGAAGGAAACCCAAAACATCTGAGCCAAGTCATACAGTTTAAAGGCAATGCTACCAAATAGTAAAGAAATGTATGTAAACTTCTGACTTTGAAGAAAGTAGTAAAAATTCTCTCTCATTATTCTGGCATTTAGCAAACAGAAATAATCCTAACTGACCTAAACCAGGAAAAAAAAACTTTGTCTTTTTATACCGTGTATGTAAACCTCTGGCTTCAACTGTACATACAATCCAAAAGTATGTTCACAGCAAACTTTAATGTCACCTCATTGCAGAACACTGCATGCATACAGTGACACTCCACTGCAGGTTTCATTACTTACACCACCTTGTTATTGTCATAATTACAATTATTATTATTTTACTTGCACTTGGTTGTCTTTGTAGTCTTATCCCACGGCCCATTTAACAATAACTTAGAATGGTATAGTTTTGCATTATTGTTATGAAACGCTATAAAAATTAAATTATCTGAAAAAATAAACTGACATGTAAAAATGTGGTAAATTAAACAAAACTAACAACAAGCAACAGTGGTTCTGGTGAGAGCTGGAGGCCGTCGGAGTCCCAGGTTCAGTCAGCTGCAGCTGTTTTCCATCATCACCCGGTGAAGCGCTCCGATCCTCTGCCCTCACTCGCTTGTGTTTCTTCTCCACAAAGCAGCCGAACACAAAAACTCCACGCACCTTTCCACATGTTTTATTTGCAGATCTCTGGACCTCTATCATACCACATTGCCTTAACATACAGGTACAATTTCACATTTCATTCCTCCCTGACCCGTCCCCTCATATTAACCCCTATTTACATGTACTGAAAATTAGTCATGGCAATAATGAAGTTTGTCACTCATGCTACAATGTCCTCTAATGCATAGTTTGGACCAAAGGGCTCCAAGTCTCAGCCCTTCACGTGAGGAATCTTTATTTTATTTATTTTTTTTGTGTCTGCTCGTTTTTCTTCCTTGATGCACAGCTGTAGGCGCCACAGTGTTCGTGAGTATGAACGTTAAAAACAGCGAGGTGATAAAGTGCAGCCACCTTAATGCACGTTACCCTGATTCAGAAACAGCCCTCTGCTGGTCTCGACTCGACAAGCCAACCTGTGGATGATGAAGAACGTGGAGGATTGGCAATAATCTCATTCTCTGCAAAGAAATAAAGTCCACGACGACACGTTTCCCTCCTTGATGCGGCCTTTAACTGTGTCCCTGTGCAGTAAACAAACAATTTCCACATTATATTTCATGCCATTTAAATAGTTCTTTTTCTACAACCTCATGTTCATTTAAATCCAACAAAGCCTACATGTTGTAACATACACAATGAATATCTGTGAAAACAGCTCTTCCTGAGAAAAGATATGTGAGAGTTCTTCTCATACAAACAAAATAAGGCAAGTAAAGATTGTCTGATAATGTTTTTTTTTCCCCGCATACTATCTCCAGAGTGGCCTCTGACATTTAAAAAAAAAAAGTTGCCTTTGAGTTCATGTTTTTTTTAGTTGGAAATGACCGTTTTATTTGCTCCACGTCCTTCGAAAACTTGCAGGGACGGGAGCTCAGTATTGCACAGTCCCACGATCCAAACGTTCCAGTCGGAGAGAATATGAGATTGTGCTCGTGTTGGTCATTATTGTGCACTTATTTGTTGGTAGGAAGCCCTTAAAGAGTAAAGTTGCAGCCAGTTTGTGTTTCTCTCCACCTGCCATGCGATTGTGAAAATGTTAGGAGGCAGGTGTTCAAAAATCTCCTTTTATATTAGGGATAAGACTCGTTATATCTTAGGAAAACTGTCCTATAAACCTCCAACCAGCTGCTTGTTTTATCCACAGGAGGCCAAACTCTTCACACGATAAATACAGCACCTGCAAAGTTGTGCTCGATTTCTAATAACGTGACTGTTATTGTTGTTGCTTGTCGTCACTAAATGGTTAAAAACCCACCAGTTTGTAACTCAGAAAAAGTGTTTTCTTGTGTTTTTGTGCCGTCCGAGCCCAGCTGAAGAGGACAAAGTTGTTCCTCGGCTGTTTTAAAGGCTGAAACGGCTGCTCGCACCAGCAGAGCGACTAAACGGCGTCTCCGAAGAGCATCTTGCTTTCGTCGATCACTGAGTTTTCTCCCGGGTCCACTTGATCATGGTCTCTGGCGAGCGGTAGAGGAAGATGAGCTTGGAGTACATGTCCTCCTCCAGGTCCAGCTCGCCCGTCTCTCGCACCAGGAAGATGTCGGTGCACAGCTTGAGGATTCGGTCCACGTTGGGCAGCTCCTCGAACATGATGGTGTGCGAAATGCCGCTGAAGAACTCGCGCACAAACTTGCCGATGACCAGAACCACGGAGGCGTACAGGCCCATGATGCTAGAAGGGACACAGAAGGAGGAAAGTTCAGTTTTTCGGATCTCTTAAAATCTCATTTCTGTGGCTGTGAAGTCGACTATGATGCGGCCACACGGGAAAAGGGGGGACGTTTGATAAAAGCTGCATCGTGCTGCAAAGACACAGAAGTCAACAGGAGGCGCCTGCAGGGTTGGTTATGAAGAATCACAGGAAGCTCTGCCTTCAGACACTGACTGATCTGCATCACAGCTCAGAGCTCAGGTTATTTTGAGAAAACAAGAGATTCCAACCAGAATCAGAAGGAGAGCAAAGATTTCTCCTGTTTCAAAG